TTATTTTTATTATTTATTCATACACTTTTTATCACCTCAACTTTTTAGTCTTTTGTCTTCAGTTTTGAGCTTTGTTTTCTCTCCCAATCTAAAGTTTAAGTTCAATTTTATTTAAAGATACTCGAGTTACATTATCTTTGGATCATAGATCTTGTTTGGAAATGCATCTAAATAAGATGGTGGTGTTAGAATTTTGAGAGGCTTATTGCAAATATCCTTTGCACCAAGTGAGAAATCAGAACAATTTAAGGAAAAAGAACCCATCCTTAATGACAATAAAGTGTGTTTAATTTTAGTGTCCTTCAACAAGTAAGTAAGTAACCCTTTTTGATTTTGCTTGATCTAATACCAGGATTGTATTTCAATCTCTTATGATATATTGAATATATGCATGCTATGTATTTTATATGTTTAAAATTGTCTGCGAATTCTCCATGACATATATAATTACATGCTTATAGTTTTAAAATGTATGAACACTAGTTACACGACCAAAAGATTGATGTTTTCTTCCAAGTGTAGAAGTGTCGAAGTAATAAATAACCCGGCGAGGCCGAGATCAAACCATAAAGAGATTAGCTATATAAATTGTAAATATGAATAACAACAACAACAACAACAATAGTAGTAGTAGTAATAATAATAATAATAATAAGAATAAAAAGAAGTTGATGAGAACTTTGACATAAAAGATCAATGTGAGGATCAAATAATGATAAAATAAATATCAAGGTTAGAGGATCCACTAATGGTATTTCAAACAAATATAGTATAAACTCTTTATATTAATCTCTTATTTATATCTTTCATTTCCTTTACTATACTTACATAATCATATTTTCATCTTGTTTATTTATGTTTTTATTCTTCATTATATTTTGCTAAGTTTACTATGTCAAGGTAAAAAGGTTTCACTAATAGTGTTAAGATAAGTATAATATAAACTCCATATGAAGTTCAATACTTATATCCTAAACAACTTGCTATTAACATGTATTATTATTTTTATCTTATTAATTCTTAATACTTTATTTGTTGTTGCGATGTTGTGGTCGCACAAATTAATTACCCTAGCTTAAAACACAACACACAAGATAGTATAGAGCAAGTAAGGGGTCGATCCCACAAGGAAGATTTAGTTCAGATTTTTATGCTATACGTTATGCAATTGGGGGGTTTTGATTTGTGATGATCTAAACTATGGAAGAAATTAAGCTAGCAAACAAAATCAATTGAAATCGAAATTTATCAAGAAAACAAACCTTGGTTGCAAGCACACATCCACCAATGGAAATTAGAACCGATCCTTGAAACAAAACTACAATTTATATTCTGAATTTTTATCTTTTCTTAATGTTGGTTAATTAACGGATCCGCCGTATAACTAACCCTAACCAACAAACAATCACAATGTCCGCATTAATGATTTAGTTCAATGACAGCCCTAAGAACTAGATATTTGAGTGTTCTCCCTAAGTTTAATAATGTAGTTCTGCCATAATTATCAAGCTTAGTTGCTTCACAAGTTCATACATCACAACTCCGGTTTTGATACCAAACTTAGCAATAAATTGTTCACAATAATAACTTAGAGTTTCGCTCTAGCAATTATCAACAACAATCATAGAAAATATGCATAGGAAAACAACCATACTTATTCATAATATAAACTGAAAATAAAATGAAGAATAAATCTCACGGTTCTTGAAATCCGAAGGTTTGTTGTGTCCTTGCAACCAAGAAAAGAGCTGAGCCTTGCATAACCATTGAACAACTACTCTTAAAGAATGAAGATAGCATGATTTTTTGGGTTTGTAGAGGAGAGAATTTGTGTTTCTTCACTTCTGGCTGCTGCCCCCCTTCTCTCCTCTCTCTCTTTCTTTTTATATGCTAAGAAACCCTAGTTCCTAATTTACAAAGTAGTCCTCTCTTAAGTTGACAATTGACAGTTAAGTACTTCAATAACTATTTTCCCTAAAAAAAAGAAATAGCCTTGCATGAAATCTTCAAACTCTAACTTAGAGGAGCTAAATTGCTGATATAAAAACTTGGATGACGGTTTAGAAGCTTCGAAACGTTATTTGGACTCATTTCTTCACGAAACCTGATTGCTGACAGAATTCAGTTGTCATCTTTGAAAACTTATATCTCTCTCATCTGACATCGTTTTTGGATGAAATTTGGAACGTTTATAGAACTTTGAGTCAGGAATCCAAAAAAAATTAAGTTTGCATAAATTGGACTTCTATAGCTCTAGATATTGAATTTTTAATAGACAAAGGTTAATAGTGGCAGAATGCGAGATTTGACTTTGAAGGATGTGATTTCCATGATCTTCCTCTTTTTATTTTTCTTGTATTACATTTTCAGAAAGGTATGGATGTTAGCTTTTTAGTTCCACTGGAATCACTTCATTTTGATCTCTAGAACTCACGCTCTGCACAAAACATTGACTGAACGTCAAATCTGCCAATTATCTCCAATTTACTCCTTTTTGTATTTTTCATCCAAAAGTGCCTTCAAAACATAAAACAAAGAATATCAAGACATTTTACATATAAAACATGGACAAAACATTAGGTAAATATGGGTGAAACTATCGAATAATATGGTTACATCATTTGTTAAATTGTTAATCTAGATTTGTGTTATATAACATTTGGTACAACAAATGCTTGACACTTTCATAACCAACCGTATGGTATAACCTACACTTGTGCTATAAAAGAAACTTGATTTGTTGTTAATATAAGTTAGCATCATGAATTCCTGTCAATATTTAAAAATTTGATCTTACTTAAATAAGATAATTAATATAATCATGTTAAGAATTTATAATGAGCTATTAATGACAAATCATTCGATTGGAACCTTCTTTGTGTGTGGTTTCCAGTTGAGTAATAAAAAGAATTTATAATACATTTATTTTTAATACCATTAGTAGATCCTTTAACCTTAACATTTGTTTTTATCATTGTTTAATCCTCACATTAATATTACATTTCAAAGTCCTTTTTAACTTATTATTATTATTATTATTTGTAATTTATATAGTTAACCTCCATGTGGTTCAACCTCGGTCTTGTCAGATTATTTATTACTTTGATACTCCTGCACTTGGGATAAAATATCAACTGTTTGGTCGTGTCAATATCCATCATAAAAACAAGGATGCTAATGTTATCATTCTTGAACTCAATAAATGTTTTTCTTAGGTATTTTTTCTTTGGTCCTAAAATTTAAGGAGGAATTTAAAGAGAAAACTCATACTCTATATTTTGATTTTCTAGGCAAAATTTTGGATTTTAGAGTAACAATTCATAAGTTAGATTGAATAATCAAGGAGAAAGTGAAGTGGATTTAAGTGGTATAATCTTGGATCAAAGTGATGATGAACACTTAAAAGTTGAAGTTGTCACTCTAACGAATGCTCTATTCGAGTTAGAATTTCTCTTAACTAATTTACTAGATCAATCCATTTTAAGGATGTTATTGACTTAATATGTGAGTTAGTCAAAAAATTATCATATTATTATACCAGAGGTATTTCTAAACCCATATATGAATCCAAACTTTTTAGTAAAGTTAAATATACTGAGAAATTACATGTATAATCATAATTTGTTAGGATTGAATTTGTCATTAATAAATCAATTATCTACTACATTTATTATAATAGTGTGCAAGAACTCTTAGCTGACCCAAGATAGAAAGCATCTATAAATGAAAAGATAAAATCCTCAAAAGAGATATTTGAATGTAATTATATATATTTTGAGATATATGAATGTAATTATATATATTTTGAGATATTTGAAGGCTACACCTCGAAAGAGAATTTTACTCATTAAAAATTTAAATTGTCAAAATATAAATGTATATATTGATGTTAACTAGGTTAGAGTAGTAGATAATAAGCGATCTACTTCTAATTATTTTATCTTTATAGGTGGTAATCTTGTTACATAAAGAAAAAGAAAAAAACAAGGTATTATTGCTCTATCAAGTGCATAAGTTACATTCAGAGGTACGGGCATGTAAAAGTAAATAGGCTCTTTGTTAAGTAGGAGTTGGATAAAGAAAAACAATGATTAAATTTAAATTTAAGGATTAATTGGCTAACATTCTCACTAAATCAATTTCAAGTTGAGTGTTTTAAAAGTTTCTAAACAAGTTAGGCATATATAATATTTATACAGGGGTTGTTGAGATTTCTTGGATAAAAATTTATAATTAATTATTTAATTATTAGGTTTATGATTTTCTATATAATTAGTCTACTATGATTAGCATGTTTGTCATTGTATATTGTACATTTCTCATATTTTTAATAGAAGTCATAAAAATATTTTCTTTATATTTACAACACAAAATAGGTTTTTTATATTTATTTTAAGCAAAATAACACTCTTTTTTTAATTTGTTAGCTACATGTTAATCTAGATCACAAGGGGACAGAGAGGGGGTCAGCATACGATTTTTTTTTTTTTACCAGCAGTAGCAGGTAAACTTGGCACAAGGGACCCTTAAGAAATCACCACCCTTATTTAGCTATCTTTCAAGATCGAATAACGCATGCTGCAATGTATCAAAATAATGGCCCCTGTCTGTGTGTGAGTGTGTGGGGTGGAATTTTCATCAATGTCCAAGAGATTCGAGTTCTGACTTCTGTGTTTAAGTTCGTAATCAGGAGTTAAAAGACTTGGTAAAACAGAAGAAACAGGGCAAAGTACAATACACTTTAACAATTTAAATTAGATAGTGGTGGCGGAATCAAGACAAGTAGCCACATATTGACACATTAGCCTCTTAGCTCTGGAAAACTCAGCTCCTATCTCTCCCCGCTTATGAAAATAAAAAATAAAAACATGAGGAGCTCAATGATGTCTTTTTAACAACCCTTCCCTTTTCACAGTCTCCAAAACTTTCTAGTCTTGTTGGCCTCTTTTTGTCTCTGTAAAGGCGTAAAAGAAGGATCAAGAGGAGCAACAAGAAAGATCATGGGTAATGGATACAACCACCATTTCCACAACCAAAACCTTCACCTCCAACACAAGAGCACATTCTTGCCTATGTTATGCTCAGGAGCAACCATCAAAGATGTGACTCTTCCAAAATGGGAATACCGGTCCATGTCCATCTCCAGGACTGACCCTTTATCTCCAGAGATCGGTTGCATGGGGCAGGTCAAGATAAACAGCAAGATAGGTGGCTTCCCTACTTCTAACAAGCTCACAGTTACTACCAAGAATAACAATAATGTCAAGTACTCCAAGCTCAAGAGGATCTTCTCTGGCAAGAATCTTACTGGCACCACCGCATCAATAGCCAGTAGCGCTGCTCATAGAAGAGAAGTGATGGTGAATGGTGCGAGTGGACCTAAGATTGATGATAGTAAAGAGAATTCTGTTTCAGTTAGCATAGAGAATATGGATCCTCCTTTGCCTGTAATCAAGAAGGTCAAACAACCAGCAGATGGTGGAGAAGCGAGTAGTCTTTGGAAGAGGAGATCCGGTGGGCTAGCATTGAAGAATTTGCAACTTAATAGGAATAATCTTGCACCAACCACTGTTTAATGAGCAGCTCCAAGCAGCAGGGGAGTTAACATAAAGCACAAGCACACATAGGAGATGTACATGGTTATTAATGATGTATTTGTAAGTTCAGTTTTGCTGTTATCAATTTCTTAATCCTGCGTTGTAAGAGCATCTCCAATCCAAAATGCTATTTTGAAAAGCTAAATTAATAAAATAGCATTTTGAATAGTATAAATATAGCTTATCTTACCATATCTATTCCAATGGAAAAAAGCCATTTGAAGAGCCATTTATATTGGAGTGAAAAAAATAAGTGTTTTATTATTTCTTAATATATTTAATGTTATTTTTTTTCTACATGTCTACATTTAATTGGTCTATTTTTTTAGTGGTTCCACTTTGTTGGTTTTGGTTCTTTAAAGAGATATGTAGAAATAGCATTTGTGGAAGAGAAAAGACATTTTAGCATTTTGTTTGGCTTGCAAAGAAAAGCCAAAATATTAATTTTTTATTTTTGGCTATCCATTGGAGATGCTCTAAAAGCAAACACAGTAAGGTGGTACTGTTAAGAATGTATATGAATCATCTATCAATGATTAGATCTACAGACTTTTACTGCACTTCCCCTTTCCTTGTGAAATTATCAATATTTAGATCACGTCAGTTGAATTTCATGCCGGTAGTTTGGGTGTCAATTGTGGGTCATATTCAATACAGGGACTTGAGCTTCCATTAAAGTTTACTTTGCCAAGTCAATTCACATAAAAATAGGGTAGAAAGTTTCTTAAATCATGTGATCATGAGGTGACGATGGTGGGGAGAGAGAATGGAAACGTATATATAAATGCCGACGGAGCGAGCACAGAGCACAGAAGAAACAGGGAGGTCACCATTCAAATATTTTAAACGCCACGCAGCTCATGAAACAAATCACCATTCAAATATTTAAAACGCCACGCAGCTCATGAAACAAATAACCAAGTAATTTTTTAAATATCAGAGCAAGCAGGCAAGTCTAGATCACGACGAGTGCGAACGATTGCTCGGCGATCATATCCAAGGTTTGGCCTTCTCGCACCCACACCTACGATTTGTGTTCCTCGTAAGACGAGGCCTCCTGGCATCTCATACAAGAACGGAATAATATCATCAGCATACTAATAAAGGTGATTTTCCGAATGGGTAGATGGGATCACTGTTTCTGGAACTGTCATACGAAGTTTGGCCGGAGCCTTTTTGTTCCTGGTCAAAGGGAACTACAGAGTTCAGCACCTTTAAAAAAAGAAAAAAACAAAGCGCAGGCCCGGTTCGCTCATCCAGGAGATTTTCAGAACAAAACTTGTGAGGATTAACGCTTCGAGATATCTAAACCCACCTTAAATTCAGGACACTTCTTGGGAATGAAAAAAAATAATTTCTCAGAAGCTCGGGTATCGAAACATCTATTTTAAGCATAAAATATACAGATTATTTTCATTACATGTATACCAGATACCAAATTGGGTGGTGTAAGAGAAACGGATTAATTCACCAGAAAGCCAATGGCTCAGCGATCATTACATTCTCCTAATTTAATTTCGTGGCATCTACATTTATACAGCTAAAGGTACAAGTCGAAGCACATGGCAATCAATTAATGCGAGTATCAAACATCAACCTTGTTCTTTGTAAGGAGTCCAGATCAATTTGCTAACATCAACCTCAAGACCACCCCGACCAGCAGCTTTTAGATGACGATCCAGGACCTTCGGATCTGCACATATCACATGCTGCCCTTTCCTGTACTGAATCAGTTCTAGGCTCTGAAGGGTAGTCAAAATATCCTCTGCCTTTATTGCTGTCATGTCACTAAGCTCCTGAGAGAGTATAGAAGTCACTCAATAAAGAATTACAATGGCACCACCCACGTGATCCAAATTGATGGGAAAATATGAAAAAACAAAGAAACTATTGGAGATGATTTACCGAGACTCAGCATCAGAATGACACTGAAGGAACATTTCCTTTCCTGTTTCTGTAAAACTTAAATATAAGTCAAACCTATCAAGTAAGACTACACTTGCTATACGGCACATTTTATGGTGCCTTTGCCGAAGAGTGAAGGCATTGACCTCAGATTTTCAAACTAGTTCAGATATCTCTTGGTTACCAGGACTATCCATGGACCAAATGCTGGTCGAAAGATGGAAAATTTCACTTAAATTCAACTGAATGTACCAATAGCTGAACACTCTGACAGCTCATCAGAGGTTGTCCAACATGCTGTCAAGTGTGACTGGATGTGGCCACTTTTGGTCAATATTTGGTCGCAATGAAGGCACCCCCCTGGGAACCACCGACTACTGACATTCTAATATTTCTTTTTTGTTCAAGGTGTGGTACTGGCAACCAATCCATACAGTGCACCACCTTTTTGTTTTTACCATCCTCGAGCCTCACCTACTCATGCACACACAAACACCCACAACCATCACTCCTGCCTGATAACTAAGTCCAAGTTTATAGTATAATTATTGAATATCAAAGTACATTATGAAAGGCAAGAACATGCCCACAATGCTAGGGAAAACAGAATGGACGGTAACAGCCATGAATTTCTCAACACAACTCAAGTAAGTAGATGATGGCATCAGTAGAACTGCAGAAAGAAAACTGTCTTGATCTCTCAAGAAAATGCTTACCTTGATAGAAATATTGCCCTTGTGCCTTTTCAAGATGTCTAAAAGAACTCGGGTCCAATATCCTCTGTAGCTCAACAACCCCAGGTCAGAAAGGGGTCTTTCAGGTGTGCCAACTTTACCTTCTTTCTTGGAAAGCTCGTATGCTGTACCATGATAAATGCACATCAATCAATCCCATATACAAAAAAATATTTAAAATAAACAGAATAGCCATCTTTGTGCATGAGGAAATGAAAAACCATCAATGTGAAAAAGAATCTTAGAATTTGGAGTTAGCACCAGAAGGTGTTTGCTGGATTATTCAACTACAGCTACTATGATCTACTTAAACAACTAAAGGGTTGTCACAATCCAAACACTCAGTAGCATGGATGATAACTACTCTCCTAATAAAGTTGTTTTTCACATTATAGTGCCTTCCAAAGACCTGCATCAATGGTTCTTGATAAAAAAAAATCCAGCTGCAGATAATTTACAGGATTCAAGCAATCCATGTTGATTTCTCTATCCAATGGTAAATTCATCTTTTCCAATTTACTATTCTCTTGTCTTCCATAATTTAGATAAGAATTGCTTACAGCATGCCACATCTTATCTCCCAACAACATTAATCCCTTCACTCCTCACCACACCCAATACAAAAGGACAAAAAATGAAAATGGACACATAATCGCAGTTCTATATTTGTACAGTAACACAGGATATTAAAAAGGCAGAGAGCTTACAGAAGGCAATTAAGAACTTTCCATAGCCTTTCCTTTGATAAGGAGGAAGGGTAAGGATACATGCCAAATTATAGGATTCCTCTGAATGCTTTTCCTGCACGATCCATTAAATACAATCAGCTACAGAATTCTTTAAAGTTTCTGAAAATAACAGAACCAGAATTTCCAGGAATTCTATCTTAGAAAATTGCTTTGCTGACTGATCAAATGTCATGAATACAGAGGATTTGCAAAAAAGAATGATCAAATGAATATCCAGTCCTTAAAGCAAAAGAAGCTGAAACATTAAGGGAAAACAGAAGGTGCGCCAATATTCACGACATGCTTTTCATGTCAATTTTGGTGTTCCTTAAAAAAATTTACATAGAAGCTCTGAGATGTAATTTTTTTGGTGCCACATGCACTATAGCATAAGAAATTACAAGCAGCAGCATTTACCTTGGAAAAATATCCAACCATGTGGCATCCTCGATCATCACATTCGCACAAAACGTAAAATAGAAATAGGTCAACATCATAATAAAGGGTCTTGTGATCAAGAAACAACTTCGCCAAATAACAAAGATTCTGCCCATAAACCTTGTTCTTTTTGCCATCTATCTGCATAAAAAAAAAGTAAAAGAAAAGTCAAATCAACTACAGAATTCAGATCCGCATAACTACAAACTTAAACCTGTGGGATAGCAGAGATTGAGGGAAAAAAGAAAACTGGATTACTACATTTTCATAACCAGAATCACCAACATAATGTTTCAAGGTCAATTGGCTTTTTTGCAACTTGCAGAAATCAAAATCAACTAGGTTGTGGTGAGTATCATTTATGTTGTGAGAAGTGTAGATTATAAAAAAGAATTGAAAACCACCAAAGCAGGAAAATATAAAAGAAAGAAAACAATTGAGAAGAATACCAGCAGTCCAGTAATGTGCTATGAAATCTGAGCAGGTACCGGCAAACTCAGAACAAGATATTTAAAAATCAGATGAGAGGAATAACAACATATAATCAGCAACATTATGACATACCTCAAACATTGATAACGTGCCACTTCGATAAATTTCATCACCAGGCGGGTGCTTGAGATCACACTTCTTCTACATGAACCCATATAAAAAAATTTAAAAAGACAACCAACAGCCTCACAGCATCTTATGACTGTCAAAAATAAAGATGCTGATTTAAAAAAGAAAATGATCAAGAATTCAAATAACTGATCAAAACATTTCAATAAAAATACTGTTTCGTATACTATTTCAAAATTTTCACCTAAGCATAATTAGGCCATTTGCATGCAAAGTACACAGTGAAGCTTTTTGTGAACTAATAGAAATTTGGCTTGATAAAAACTAATTTTTTTTGTCATCATTTCAAACAGATCAGTGGCAAGAAGCTGGTTAAAAGAATAGCACAAAAAAATCAGGAAAATAATATCTACAAGCAGACAGATCAAAGAACACTCAGTAGTCAGTACTCAAATTTTAAAACTCTATTTGCAACAGATATACCACAATTGCAGCACCATAAATCAAGGCAAGCACAAGAATTTGAGGCACAGCTCACCATATGCCTTTGGAGCTGCTCTTTACGCTTCATGAAATTGAGGCAAAATTCACAAAAGTACAGCTGCAGACAATC